GTGGTAGTGGTAGTGGTAGTAGTAGTGGTAGTAGTAGTAGTAGTCGTGGCAGTAGTAGTAGTAGCAGCAGTCGTAGCCGTCATAGTAGTAGTCGTCGTCGTAGTCGTAGAACAGTTAGTAGCAACAGCAGCAGCAGTAGGACTGCAGTAGCAGGAGCAGTACGAGTAGGAGTATAGTAGTCGTCGTCGTGGTAGTATAGTGATAGTATTCCTATTGGACGGTTTTTTAATGGAACTCGTCTTCGGAATTCGTCTTCAAAGAGAGAGCAATTCCTAGACATCCAAAAGTGTTCGGTTTCAAGCCTTCAGGGTCATGGGAAGCAGGAAAATTGTAAAGGCTTGTACTTGAAACTTTCACTTTTGCATGTAAAGCAACAGAGTCCATGTATGTTTAAAGCTTTGACGGCACACGCCAACGCACCTAGCAAAAAAGAAAACATATTCCGCTTCGGGAGGGAATTCGTCCTCGGAATTCGTCTTTGGGGGGTAATTTGTCTTCGGGAGGAAATTCGTCTTCTCGTCTTCGGGGGAAATCGTCTGTCTGCAGGCGGAAATTTGTCTTTGTGGGCTTTGTTTTGAGAATTCGTCTTCGTCTGCGGGTGGAAAGTCAATACCGTACTTCTTAATGTTTTTCCAGAGCATCATGTTCAAAAATTGACATTTTTCGTAACATGCTCGTAAGGGCTCTTCCTTGAAGATGGCCCCGCGTGGCCACAAGGTACCAACAACAACAACAACATCTAACCACAATCACCACGATGAACAATCGCCACCACCAACCACCACCACGACGACAACAACAACAACAAGGTACAAAAAAAGCAACCCGGTAACAACATATCTTGTGACTCTGTCCCTACAAAAGGGTGGAACCAAAAACCGCAACCCTATCAATGTCTTTTTCACACCCCTCCGAAAACAACCAGCCAACAAGCAGTTTTACCAGTAGTGGTCGTGTCTGTACTAGTGCTAGTACTCGTGGTACTAGTACTAGTACTAGTCGTAATGGTAGTAGTAGCAGCAACAGTAGTAGTAGCAGTAGTAGTAGTAGCAGCAGTGGTAGTGGTAGTCGCAGTATGTTGTAGTGGTGGTGGCGGCAGTAGTAGTAGTAGCAGTAGTAGTAGTAGTAGCAGTAGCAGTAGTAGTAGTAGTCGTCGTAGTAGTAGTAGTAGCAGTAGTAGTAGTAGCAGTAGCAGTAGTAGTAGTCGTAGTAGTAGTAGTAGCAGAAGGCGGGTGTGCTTGGGAGAGCACACACTAGCTCAAAACCTTAAGAAAACACTGTAAATACCGTGAAAGTTTTCAAAAACTGCTCTGGGACCTAGGCGAAACGCATATTATTCAACCTTCTCGTGCCCAGTCTGGATGTGCAATGTCAGTTACAACAATTAACATCTCTTCGTCTGCGTACTACCAATGTGTAACACCAATGACGAGTAGGTTAATCTTTGTCTGCGCGCAATCAATGTACGTAGCGTCATGAGCGATAAAAATATAATACTATATATAGATACACACCAAGAAGAACATGTATGTCAATGATATTGCTTTAGTCTCTGGTCTTCATGATGTATTTTTAATCTGATTCATCAGTCCAATTTGTCAAAAACATCTCCCAGGAGCACCCGTATTGTAATAAACAGGGCCCCCCCCTCTCCCTCACTTTGACCTTGAATAAAGCTCAGTCAAGATTCTAAGAAAGGAGTTTAAGAAGTAAATGAAATGAATCTCTACTTAGGGCAAATTGCTGGAATTGAGATCAAAGAGACTTCTAAGAAACGAATTGAATAAGGAAATGTAAAGGTAAAGAGTCTTTAATTAACCAAAAAAGGAAATTCTAAGAAAGGAGTTCAATAAGGAAATGGAATGAATCTTTACTTCGAACAAGGGAATTCTAAGGAGTTTAATAAGTGAAATGAATTTTATTTAGAACAGAGAGGGAATTCTAAGAACGGAGATTAATAAGGAAGTGAAATGAATCTTTACTTAAAATTTAAGTCTTAAATACTCAGAACAGGCAACAAACATGTTTAGGTTTATTTGGGGTGCGCTTTATTTAGGGTATGGTGGCTTCAAGAAAGGAGTTGAATAAGGAAATGAAATGAATCTTTACTTAGAAAAAAAGAATTCTAACAAAGGAGCTTAACAAGTGAAATGCATTTTTAACTTAGAACAGAAAGGGAATTGTAAGAAAGGAGTTTAATAAGGAAATAGACTGATCTTTATATACTTAGATTCTTAGAACAAAACAACAAACATGTCTAGCTTTATTTAGGGTGCACTCTATTTGGGGTATGGTGGCTTCATGAGGGGTAGCCTTTCCAGAGTCGTTTTGACCAAATTTCAATGGCTTTCAAATAAGGGTTCTAGAAAGAATTTTCTGCGCAGGACTTGCGTTTAGCGATACTGTCGGAAGCACAGTGGCGCCAGTACTTGGCAAAAGCCGTTGTACAAACCCTGAAGTCTATGCATCCATGTCAGAAATGCAATATATTAAAAGACTGTGCAACTTATCACGAATGTCTGCTGCGCGGCAAAGTTTAAGAGACAACAAAAAACAAAAAAACAATGTTTGAGACAAAATGGAGGCAAAGCCAAAAAACATCAAAAACAACTCCTATTGTACCCCCATTTTGTCTCAAACATTGTTTTTTTTAGAACGTTTTTTTTTTTGTTTTGTAGTATTTCCTCACAACTGTTATAGGCCTGGCCTCACAAAATTGATCTAACAACAGTTGGAAAACCTAAGTTTTGGTGAGTTTTTAGCAAATCTCTGTAAAACACTGTGTTTTTGACAACTTCTTGCACAAAAAGCATCTCCCAGGAGCACCCGTCCGGTAATGGTGGTAGTAGTAGTTGTTGTTTTGTAACCATTAGTAGTAGCTTTGTAACTGTTAGTAGTAACTGGTCAAATAGAGCTCTGTAAGACTTCTACTTAGAACCTCTACCACATCCTAGAAACAAAAGCTGCAGCCCCGTTGTTTTTTTGGCACCCACCCCTCAAAAGGTGCTGTTGTCTCTACCCCCTCCTAGAAGCAAAGACTGCAGCCCCGCCCCGTTGTTGTTCTTTTTGGACCCCCCCTCAGAACAACACCTCAAAAGCACTAAACCAAAAACGGGCCAGCCCAGACTTCATCAGACTTCAGACTTCAGTGAAACAAGTCGGACAAGTCCACCTAATTACGAAATCAACATTCCTTCAAACCTTCAACCGTATCCCTAACCTTAAGTCTATCTTTGCCAGCCAGGCAATGGAAAGTTGATTTTAATATCTTTTCATCTAGATCTTCATGTAAATCTTCAGGTTATTTACAAAAATTGTTTTATGTTCATTTCTTTTGGGATTATCTTTTTTGCATCATGTTCATCCTTCCAGAATTGGTTGGCTTTGCTGTCACTTGCCATGGGCTTCCAAAATCACTTCGGTCACAGCCAGCGCCCCAAACTATATATAGATGCGTGAAGGGGTTCCCTCACCCAACCCTTCCCGAGCAATCGAAACCAAGGATCAAAATCGCGGAATGCAACTTGCAAGCTGCTGAGCTAAACCACTGGGCCCCAAAAGCCTAAGCCTAGTGGCCTAGTGGCCTAGAAATTTGTCATACAGGGATGGGAGGTAAAACAGGTTAGTGAGGAGACGCCCTCACCCTAGCCCTGAATGAAAACTAAAATTACACATGAAATTGTCAGAAACAATAATTATAAACAATCATGACCCACATGAAGACCAAAATTACAGATGAAAGAAAATTGTTAACCAAATGAACACCAAAATGACAGATGAAAAAACATGTGAACAAAATGAACACCAAAATGCAACACAAAAAACAGTGATAAACACACGAAAACAACATGAAAAAACACATGCAACACAGAAAGCCCATGTAAAAAATACAATATTACTTGTTGTTCGCTCGAAACTTCCCACTTTCCTCAAGTTGTTGTTTTCATTATTCTTTGTTTTGGCTAGTTTCGGCCACAAAGCAGCGAAAAGCAAATGAACAACGAAAAACAAATGTAAAAACCAGGAAAATTCGAAAACTGTGAATTTCCTCGAGTGTTTTTTTTTCAACGGCTTTTCGCTTTGGCTAGTTTCCACCACAAATCAATGATAGTCAGGTCCATTTCACAAAAGCTAAAGCAAAATAGAAGGAAATGTGTGACCGACCAGCAAAGAGGGTTCAGGACTAGCTCACTTGGCCGCCTTTCCTTCAGGGGAGGCAATTGCAATTGAGCTCCAGCATTCTTTTGTCTTTCATGATCGTTTTGGCTAGTTTCGGCCACAATTTGGCAACATTGTAATTGTTCATGTAATTTAATGTGCTCATGTTGTTTTATATAAGTTCAGATAGTTTCGGCAACGTCTGAACGACAGTTAAGTACATGTAACAGCTAAAGCAAATGACTAGCCGACTAAGGTAGCAAAGAGGGTTCAGGAGTAACACAATCACGCATGAAAAGACACAGGTGGGCGTGTAAAACATGATGATGCAAACGAAAGCACTCATGTGCATGAAAAGAACACCGATGATGGGTATGAAAAAAAACTGATTATGAAAACGAAAACGCCATGAAAAAAAATATTGTCCACCCTCAGTCTGTGGCCCCCTTGAAGTTCCAGAGCTACAACATGTGACAACTATATTAGGCGGCTGTGTTCCTACCAACGACAGCAACAACCACCCAAACAACAACAGCAACAACAACACCAACAACCGCAACAAGAAGAACAAGTGTCACCTGTTTCCCCCTGCCGGCTTGCCACTGAACCCCCTGCTGGTCTGCTGTTTGGCGTAAGCCCCTTAATTTTCCATACCTAATGCCATAACATACCATACATACATATCATACATATAGAGGAGATGCCAATTGCTCCTCTCAATTCATGTTTGCAAATGTGCATGCTTGACTCTCCCAGATCTCCCAGGCAGTATGAGTGGTATGACATTGGTAATTGTGGGAATTCTGATTCCCCAAGATAGACTTGGTGTCTTAGGATGTTGCCATGGCTGCCTTCAGCATGGAACCTCAGTGCCATCAGCGCAATTCAATCACGCTTGCAAACGTAGATAGCAACTATTCACTCATGAACTCTGAACGCCCTTGATGCTTCTGAGAAGCATGGCCCCAGCATAGCATGCAAGCGGTGAAAACGCTCGCTTGAGAAACAAGCACGTTGAACATCAATGAAGCCATCTCTTATATAACTTAAAGCAAGCATTCAACAAACTGGCATGCAAGTCAAAAAACAGAAAAGGACACCAACCAGTGCAACGAGCAAAACAAGGCTTCTTTCTGTGTGTCCTCTGAAAGTCGAGCCTGAGCCACCACGCAGCAGCCTTTCTTCAGGAATCATCGAGTCTTAACTCCCGCGCTTTTCACGGTTCAACAACTCGCTGGGCTGCAGGTTGCTGCACATGAAACTAGCGTTTGGATAGCTAAGCTCTCCGATGAAAGGCTTGCAAATTTAGAAATGTGTTCTTTTCTTCCTGATCGTATGTGGGCACTGTTCACTAGTTTGCATGAGACACGTGGTAGCTTTGCACAGCGAACACTGCCATCGAACGAAAACTACTCATCCTCGCTGTCAAGGGCATTGTCATGCACAAAAGCTGGGAAAGTGTGAGAAACTCCATGAGCCAAGGAATTGACCCCGTAGACCGGATCTGAAAGCTGAGTCAAAGCGTAGGTGTGGTGGATGGCATGAAAATCCACGCAATGGTAGCCTTCACTATTGATCGAGACGCATGTGCCGTAGGTTCTGTTCCAAAAAATGTCCTTAGAATGCGCAGCACAACTTTGCAAATCTCATCACCTGCCCCTGGTCACTAGTCACTAACTAGTCTTGATCTCAATACCCTCTCAATCTTTGTCGAAGCCATGCTCCCTGGACAAAGCACAGAATGTACCATGTACGTTTCAAATTAAAGCACGACAGTTCCTTCAAAAGCAATCGCACATAAGACAGCCCAGCTACAACATTGAGGAACTTTTGAGCGTCAGTGAGTCTGTCAGAAAAATGGTGACCCTTAACATCTCTTAACAAGCATCCTCCAATGTGTAGGAGTGTCTAGCTTCAACCACAGCTCCAGTGGATTCTTCTGTGCCACTCAGCAGCACCAGAACTTCCAAATAAGGCGACTGACTCCTTAGGTCACATAAGGTGGGTCCGCCCTCCGCAACCCTGCGTGCACACAAACCATTGACTGCATACTGCAGCCTGGAGCATTTGTCGAAGCTAGGCGCAAATAGTTTCGCACTTCAGCTTGTGATGGGCAGCCAGACCTCAGAGTCATTGGGCATTGCAACAGCAGTATGCAACTTTTGCAGCCGCATGTGCATTCACAGCATGTCTAGTTGCTGTGTTTCAGATCCCCAACCAAATTTTGACAGCTATAGTGAGCTAGATTGGCATTCGCCTTTTCAGCTAAAAAGGCCTGCCCATCAGCAGTGGGCTTCCCGCCCTAAGTCAGGTTGAGTGAGCCAGGCTGCGTGCCAGACGGAACATCTGGTGCTAGGGGACTGTTGTAGTCGATCTTGTGTGACACCATGGCGGGCAAACCTGAACAACCACCGTGCGGCATCTCTTATATATAAACGTTAGCATTTACTATTACATCCTATTACACTTGGTATGTCCTGTCAATTTCTCAGAAACACCACAAATACACCCCATCTCTCGCCTAAAAAAATAATTCCATTGTGGATATCTGTATCTGGCTCCTCCAGCTGCATAGCGGCCAGTTCCACGCGAATTCCACGTGGTTGACTAGCATCCCGATGATGTTGCACACAGTACACTTGCCTAAGTGTTCAAAAAATGTGACGTTGCTTTGGACTTGAGGCATGCTTGTGATCTTGCAAAAAATATCATAATCAGATTCTATAACACTGAAATGCAAAGAATGGCCTTCTTGGATAAAGTGTTGCAACGCTAATCCTGAAGCCTTGTAAACACCATTTAGTAACAACAGTCGAGTTTCATAGTGGCCTGTGACAAGGGCCGGAATGACATGTCCGCAACTCGAAATCGTAAATATGTGCACGCATCTTCAACTTCCAAAAGGGCTGTATCACTAAAAATCATCGTATTCGCACGGGCATTTGCATTGGCCAGCTTTTGAAAGACCACGCCAATCACAGTAGCATCCAGCATCAAACCCACCACGGTCTGCACCACCAGGAGGACGGCTGCCTCCCAGCACCCCCCAAAATTGGCGTCCTTAACACCTTGGTGGCAAGCAATCCAAAATTGGCAAGCAATGAAATGCCTCTCGGCTTAGCGAAGGAACTTGCTGCCTCGCAAAGAAGCTACACTGTTACAATAAATGTTTGCAGACTTTTGGGGCCTACATTGTAGGAGGACCTTGGTGGAGTTCTAGCTCTCTGTGAATGGAGCGCTGAGGCCATTTGGCATCGTAGCCCGAGTCTTTTGCATCCACGCAGCCATATCCAATTGTCATTTGAGTCTCGACCGACAAATAGAAAGCATCTCTGTATGTGTCGAGGCCAATGTGGCAAATGTCGGAGAACCAAATCCAAAACAAGGCAAAGAAGGCGAAACAGGCATAATACCTCGAATTGGAATTTCATAGCTTGTGCAAATCCAAAAACATGTCGACAACACAACTTCAAGGACCTGTGGGACTGTGACTGGCCGCTAGCCCAATCATCCTTCCGTAAATGGGATGTGCTCCAACCTCGATTCTCTTCAGACCTGTGTCCCATGTCGTGTTGCAAGCCGGGCTTGACACCAAAACTGCATGGGACACCGCCACGACTACAAAAGGTATTTGCAGGCACCCTGCCATTTATATATGTTCAATCAAATGTAGACGCACCACGGGTGAAGTCTGGTCGATTTGCGGCCAGGATTGCACCGTCAATGATGCAAAAGAAGGAAACACACTGGAAGGACAAACGTGGGCCGCACACGCAACCCATGCAACCACCAAATCATGATCATACCCATGCTTACGAAAAACCAATCCTCGAGTCCCTTGATTTCATGCACTTGCAATCCATGTGTGAACTTTGGTTTCCACTGGACTTGCATGGGGGTTGTCGATTATGTTGGCTTGTCGATTAAGAGCTATATAATTTGACATGATTAGCATCCGCCAACCCCGGTGGGAACGCAAAGGGAGCGTGTAAAGGGGAGCGAACCGAGTGGTGCGCCAGTGGTCCGGCTAAAAGCATGGTGCAAAGCTGTGGTGAGGGATTGGTTTTTGTCGGGTGTGAGGGACCCTAAGCTGTTGAAAGGTGCCTTAAGGGAAGGGGCACCAACAATTTTTTTCGGACTCAAAACCGGGTTTTTGCGCGGATAGGTTTTTGAGATGGTCTTAGGTAAGGTGCTGAGAAATGTTAACAGGGACTGGCTTTTCAGAATAGCATGGGGGAAAGCTGTTTGATGCTTCATGGGTTTTTGGAGGGGTGTGGGCCTTGGAGGCAGTTGGGGAAAGCTGTGGCGAAGCTGTAGTTTTTGGGTTTGTTTTTTTTTTTCACTGTTTTGGGCGCTGTTTCGGGGTTTCAAACGGACCTGGTAGATTTGGGGGCAGTGCCTCCCAAGGTCCTTTTTTGACCTGCTTTGAGGTGTCAAGGTTTCAAATGCACCCGGTACATTTGGCGGCCGTGCCTCCCAAGGTTCTTTATTGACATGGTTTGGGGCGCAAGTCTTTTTGGCCCTGCTTTGGGTGCCGTTTCGACTCAGGGTTTCAAACGGACCTGGTAGATTTGGGGGCAGTGCAAAGTGCACAGTGCCTCCCAGGGTTCTTTTTGACCTGTTTTGAGGTGCCAAGGTTTCCAACGGACCCGGTACATTTGGCGGCCGTGCCTCCCAAGGTTCTTTATTGGCATGGTTTGGGGTGCAAGGTTCTTTTTGCCCCGTTTTGGGTGCAACAACAACTGCTGCTACTATTGCCGCCGCTACCACCACCACTTGTTCTACTACTACTACTACTCCTACTACTACTACTACTACCACCACCACCACTACTACCACTACGACGGCGACGGCGACGGCGACGGCGGCGACGGCTACGGCTACTGCTACTTACGACGACGACGACGACTACTACTACTGCTGCTACTACTACTACTACTACTACTACTGCTACTGCTACTGCTGCTCCTGCTGCTGCCGCGGCTGCAAGTACTATATACTATATATATACTACTGCCTACTGCTAATGCTACCACAAGAACAACCACAACCACAAGACCAATTACAACCACGACAGCAAGGACAACAACCGATCCAACCACCACAACAACAACAAGAAGAAGAAGTCAGTACAACGCTGAATTTGATTTTGCACGTAGCGTGGGTTTACGCGGTTTGCGCGGGCTTCCGTGCTTATGAACCCTTGGCTCCTCTTGTGGTCAGTCCACGACTGCTGATCTGCCCTCAAGCTTTCATTTCATGCCCAAACGCAAATGAAATTGCAAGGTACATCTTTGACCTTATCACGTTCAGCATATTTGTGATGATTCATGAGCTGCGGACAAATGAAACATGCTTCTTGCATTGGTTTGGTGGTCTTGTCCTCTTTTTAGTGTGTTGTTCGGTTAGTTAGTGTTTCAGGCGTGGCTTGGAAAACATATTTTCTTGATGATATCACGCAGTCTTACTCTCAGAATGACAAGTTTTTCTGCTATTCCCGAAAGCACCTGCGAAGAGTTCTCTGTCAAGAACGGCTACCAACTCCAACTGTCCGAACACCATCACCGATCATCACCATCTGATCATGATCATGATCATGATCATCATCATCCTACAGGCGCACTTAAATGCAGCTGATGGGGCCTATTGTGGGGGCCCCTGGCCGGCTGTCGGGCCTAAGCCCTTATATAAATGAACTCCGAACACCAGCAGCAAATTTCTCAACAACTTAAACAAGATCAACACACTCAATGTCAAAATCATGAAGTCACAACGCTTTATTTCAGCCTCAAGTGATTATGCGTTACATTGCCTACGGACTGCTTGATTTGACAAATCCGCATCCATACTGCTGGCCAAGGTCACACGGTCAAAGTGACAGCGAACAGGCCAGGAAATGGCAAATGAATTACCTGGGCTGGCTCGTGCCAGCAGGTCGTTGCACAACATAGATTAGCAAATCTATATACTCCAAATCATAGGAAAAGCCTTTTGGGCAAGCAGCAGTGTGGAAGAAATCGAGCAAAAAAATTGCGCATGTTCTTCTTGTCTGCACAACGTGAAATATTCCTTTGCTCTGAAATTCCACACCATCCTCGGGAATCAGTGCTATTTCGCTCGACCATTGAGCCCACGCAGTTTACCATGGCACACAGCTGTCCACAACAACTGGCTGTTCTCGGGTGTGCTTTGGACTGTCACATGAACCAGGCCAAACAATAGTAACTGACTTGTACACTGTACACAAGCAAGGATCCGAACATGTCTTCATAGGCATGGAAGAACCAAACACAGTTCAACGCGAGTTCCCAAATCTTTGTGTCAACAATGCAGCACCAGCGGGTTTGACACATTCTTGGAGGCAACGTTGCTTGCTGCGTAGTATTGCGTATATAGTGTATGGCAAGGGGCCACCGGGCCACATGTTTTGCAACTCAACTTCAACACACTCTGCCTCTTCCGCCTGCCGTCTTGCCTTTTTGTGGAGCAATTAGCACCAAAAAACGGACAAAGGAGGTTGCGGGCATTGACAAAAACATTTCAAGCTCAACATCTTATAACATCAAGCAACCAGCTGCAAGTTACAACCAAGAACGCAACCACACATCTTTAAGCTTTTCTAGCTTCACTAGGTAGAACAGCCCGCCTTTAGCAGTCATCAGTTCCAAGACCCGCAAACCGTAACCCATGAATGCTTGCCAGTAGCCTCCTACAAGCACAAGCAAACCCAGTGGCCACTTGCGGCTATGCAAATAATTGCGTAGTAAGTATATCTGTATATGTACTGTATATATATATATACATAAACAAAATTAAATATATTCTCTTCGCCACTGCGCGGGTGTTGACAAAAGCTCTGCAAGAGTAATCTGTAGGTTGACAGCTTGAAAACAAACTTCTACGAGATTATCATCTCTCCAGCTGAATCTTTTCCGATCCTGGCACCTGTCGCCTGTCCAGGTTGGCTCAACTGTGACTAATTGACGCAAGCTAGCTATCTTCTTTTTCGGCTGGGGCTGAAGACTGGGAACTTTGGAACATGACCAACCAAAAACCCAAACATGCCTGCTCAAGTCTGTTGACTCATTTCCTAACGCTGTTTCATGCTGTTAAATTTGATGGATGAGCTGGCCATCCGCGCCAAGGGTCTCGATCCAATATGCGATGTATTTGTCTCCGACGCTGCTTCTTCCCGCTTGCAGGCTCTGGCTTTCCGATGCCATAGAAGTTATCCTGTCGTTGCATAAGAACACAAAGCTAGCATATGCTTGTTTAGTGAGACATGAGAGGAAAAACACAACTTTAACAAAAACTGCCAAACAAGCCAGCATTCCGAATCGGATGCAGCCGATTCTGAGCTTGATGCCTGGAAACACAACATGATAAAACATTAGAACACATCTGCAAATTCTTGCAGATGCCGTGACAATGCCACAAGCTCTGCAATGGAGACGTACAGTAAGTGCTCAATGTATCTCAATGTATCTCAATGTGTTGTTCCTCTGTGGTGCCCTACATTTACTCCTTGCAGCGCCTCCGGACAAAGGGTAGGTCTACGTCGTCGTCGAAAAATGCAGCATTGCATGCCCCTAAGTTGCGCTGCATCATGGTTTCTGATCCCGGCCATCAAAACACCACACAGGCATCTCGACACTGCAAGCCCCAAAAGCCAAGCGGCCAAAACAGTGGTGCAACGTGGCGTGGCTGCAGCGACTGTCAGTGCTTCCAGAAACACCATATCTCAAACAGCACAAGGTACGCTGAGGCCAAATGCAGAGAAGAAATGCAAGAATGCAGCCATTCTTGGTCATTCTTGATTACAGGCAACAGCAGATTGCTCACACGGCAAGAAACATGCAGTCGACAAACTGTGCAACGTTTCTGAGCCTCCAGAACTCGATCGGTAGGTTACAGGGTCTTAGGGTCATTGTAGATCTATGGCATCAAGAAAGAAAAAGAAGAAAGCGGGACTGGGAAACATTCTTGACACATGTGAAATCATGTGAAGTACCTGACATTGTTCCGCGCGGGACCTGAAATGCTTGACCATTGTGCGACTGGATGGCAGGTCTGGCAATGAGATGCAGCGAGTATGACCAATTGACTGCAAAGAATGCATGCGCACACATGTCGTAGAACAATATGCAGCATACATGCACAAACATCTTCTTGCACCGAAACTCTGAGGTTTTGAAGACGCACACCACCGGCGCAACTCCAATTTCTGCTTCAACGGGCTGGGTCTTTGGCCTAAGCTTCCTGTGCAAATTAGCTGAGCGACTTCTCCGGACAGTCAAAGGCACAAACAACATGCTGGAAACATGCCACATGCGCATCTCAGTTTGTATTGAAGGCGTCATTGCTCAATCCTCGGACAGATTGGTACCTACACATCCGATTTACATCAGTGCAATTGTTTTCTCTAGGATATGATCAGTGCTTCTACCCTAATATACCTGCCTCGTCTATCCTCGTCTTGGCATGTTGTCATGTTGTTAGTATACTTTGGGTTTCTTGCCCGAACTACCAGGGGGCCGAAGGCCAAATACATCCTGTCATGTGCATATGTGTTCGTGCCTTGTGGAAAATGACGCGCGGTTGCTGCCGGGCTTCTGTGACACATCTGGCCTCGCAGTTTCCCTCTACGCCGTCATCTATTTTCAACTTGACATACTAGGCCTGATCTCGTTGAGATCTGCCGCTTCATCATCTTGCTGCAAACATCATTGCCGTGGAGTACCTGGGCAGGGTCGGTGAATCAGTTGGCAACCGGGTAAAGCCAGGTGCGTGCTTCAGTGCAGCCAGGATGCGAGTATGGATCGTATTGGGTCTGGTCCTCAATGCAACAGTAATATGGTCATGCAATGTAGCTGGTGCAGGAACGCTGGGGCATTTGCGTAGGTTGGCTGCATTGTCCTGTGGTCCTAAAGCCGTCCCAAAAAATCAAGCGCCGAAATGTTCCAACACAATTGGTGCACGAGTTGCCTGCTTGGTTTTAGACCTCTCTTCCACCTAAACAAATGATTTAATGGTGTCTTAATTGTTGCCATGTAGAAATTATTCTCGCGGATTTCTCGAAAATTCGTTTCCAAAGCAGCGGAGCTCTTTTTGTCAAAGGAGCGGATGGTCCTCCCACTGCCCCCCAAAGGGTTTGCTCACTTTCTTCTTGATGGCTATCTATCTTCCTCCGGGCCTCTTCTTTCTTCTTCCCCTTTCTATCTGTGATCTCCTCATAGGGTCCTTGACTTTCTCTCACCAACTTCCCAAGTACTGGCCGCTAGCCATTCTACCTTCTCCTCTTCCACGTCCTCTCCGAACTCCGTGCTTGAACTGTCTTGCCCAGTGTGGCAAAACCTTCTCTCCTCTTCACTAACCATTTCAAAGTCCAGGGGAACACTGCCTTTCTACACCCAGTGACTTGTTTACTGCTGTCTTTGTGGCTTGGTCCGACTAGTTTTTCCTTGGAAGGCCTTCCACCTCAGAAGAAATATTTTCACCATGATTGCGAAGCCCTAGCCAGCTCCTTCAAACCTTGCTTTCATTTTCTTAAGCCTTGGTACGCCAGCATAAACGAACCTCAATATCCAGCGTCTATATAATTCACATGCATGGCTCCGAGCATAGTGTGATCGTTACCCACATTCCACCCTCGAACAAATTCCTTGGGTCCTCGACTACTACGACAGGCTTCCCAGCACCTTCGACAAGCAGCACATGCCCTAGACTCGGTCTACTTCACCCAACCTATATACCACCTCCTCCTCCAGCACCAGCACCATCACCGTGCCATCACCACCACCCTTTTCTTCAAACGCAAGCACTACGTCCCAATATGGCCGCTTGGCCCCTTCCCGGGCAACTGTCATTGCCCCAGCACCGCCATGCCTTCCTACCTTCTTACCTTCGAATAGCGACAGCTCACTTTCTGCCGCGCCGCCGCCACCCAAAGGTGCTCGCAACCAGCGCAAACATCCACCATCCAGAGTTAAAAGCAGCCCGACACTCAACATCCAAGCGTTCGGCTTCTCCCAATGACAGCTGGGACGGCTGGGCTCCCTGGCAAGAGGAACTTCTCATTGAGCTGCGCCGCCCATCTGATCCACAGCTCGCACCGCTCCAGCCACTCCGACGCCAGCGCCTGCCACGATCGAACAAGTCCTTCAACCCACACACCCAGCATTGGAGGACGACATTCCCAGCAAATGGTCCATTCCAAACATCGCCGCCTGGACCAGGACATTCGGCGACGCCGCCCAAGCATCAGCCCACGAGATTGTCAATCTCATTCAATCCACCGGCGCCACCGAACAGCAACTGAAGGAGGCGGCCAATAAGTATGGCATTCCGCTTTCCAAAGTCCAGCGGCTCCCACTCAAGAGCCTTCAATCTACGCCATATCTGCGCATTCCACAGCGCCTTTCCACCATTGTCCGTCAGGCCACCTTCAGTGACCGTGCTGAAGCCATTTTCAGTCTCGGCCTATCCTCACCGCCATCCACGCCTATCCATCGGGGACTCACCGTGTCACAGCTCTCAGCAATGGCGTCAGCGCTTCCGCCGCCTCCACATATCGCCACAACTAGTCTTGGCACCCAACCCCGTCTATCTCAAGCTCCATTTTTGACCAACATCCCACCCACCACGCATACCACCAGACAGGCCATTTTGATCCGGCATCCCACAATGTGAGCACAACCGTCGCGCAAAGCTCAAGCAACGTGCTGACAAGACACCCACAGACTACGACCAAGGCTGGATTCACGAACACCTCTTCATCTCCAAGTGGCAGCCCACACTTGACTGGCCTTGCATATCCCACCACTTGCACCTCAAAGCCGACGGTTGGCAAAAACACCGTGCCCACTTTCATCCACGTCTGGCCAACCACTTTCACCTCTTCCAAAGGCTCCGCCGTCGGCTCCGTACAACCCAACAACCAGTACTTTTTGCATCGCACAAACTCCAAGCACTCTCCACCCTTCGCAACCTTACCAAATCCTCTCGAGCTCGAGCTTCCTACGATGAACCCAAGAAGCTCCGCACCGGATTCTTCTCCAATCTCGAAGTTTAGTTTATGCCATTGGCCGTATGGCCTCCAGCTCAAATTTCGCAACTTGACACCCCCGCAATCCAATCAGCTGCTCACCATTCCGTTTCTTGCCCTTGACCACTTCCAGCGCAACACTCAACGCTGCCACACATCCCTCGTCCATCGATTCAAACACCACTATGCTGGTCCCTTCCATCTACCCACTTGCAAACTTCGTGAAGCAGCGCACCGTACCCTCCACAGCCAACTACACAATCACCGCCGCTGGGAATAGGTTTTCTGCGAGTGGATCTTAATCAGCGAAGTTTGAAGCTATCACTGACGGTCCATAAGCGGCGTAGCGTCGGAACGGAAACCGCACCTTTTCTAGTCGCTTGATCCTTGAGCCAAAGTACATATGGTACATATATATGTACAAGTTGCACTGTACGTGTCGCTGCACTTCCATTCGCACCCCCCATGTGAACGGCAACAATATGTTCCGATCACACACGAAAATTTAGGGATGTAAGTGCTACAAAGAAATTGTATGATTTGCCGCGAGACTCATATGAGGCTCATACTACGAAACATGCTGGACTAAAGCGGACTTTTACATATAAAATGTGCAACTATGGCTCAGAACCTTTGAAAAAATCGAATTGAACAAGTGAGACAGTCACGAGGCCTCGCTCAGTATCCACTCAAAAGAGCATCGCTTTGATGTAGATCCGAACTGGTGACTTCCACGTAGATGTCACATCGGCAACTGACTTCACACTTCTCAAAAGATGTAGGTTTTGGTTTGGATACACTTACAGAACGGCAAGTCGGAGAGACAGTCGGTGATTGTCTTCCTTCCATTATGCTCATGGTATCAAATCAGATTGACGATTTGCAATGATACACTTACAGCGTTTCAGGTCAGATAAACATCCGGTGAATGATTTCCTCCCTGGTTTGCATGGTATCCTCATAGTCGTTCATAGAAATCACCACTGGTGATAACCTCTCCATCCACGATGATCCCAGCTGCCCTGAGCATCCCACCGATCATCTTCTCCCTTCTTGGACTTTCCCTTGGACTTGCTCTTTCCCTTCCCCTTTTCAGAAGGTTGAGGTACTTCGCGACGTTCTTGCGTTAGCGCCGGCCTCCAAGATGTTCCAGATTGGCCTCCTCCTTTGGAATGTCCTCGGGATGATGAAGAAGTTGTACCTTCTGTTGCATGTGCGTTGGCGGCAAGATCTTCCTGCAAAGCTTGCTCAAACACACCGGTAGCACTGGATGGTGATTTATCATGTGGTCTGGCTTTTGGAGCAGCCTTCGCCTTGTTCTCATCTGCTGATGAGGGCCCGAAACTCTTAGGTGCTGTTGAAGGTTTTGGCTCCTCACTTGGTGCTGACGACGGCTTGGCCTCGGTTCTGGGTGTAGATGCTGGCTTTGCCTCAGCTCTTGACGAAGATGCTGCTTTCGCTTCAGACTTAGTCGTTGATGTTGACTTAGCTGTTGCCTTGGCTGCCTGCTTCTTCTTGCCCTGAATCTCCTTGGCCCTATC